GCAGAGCTGTGAGGTGTCTTTGAAAAGGTAACCCAGTTATCATTGTATTTGAGGGGAGGGGTTCCCCCACTACCACCCCCCTCCCCGTAATTCCAAATGTATTTGAAGAAGCCAGTCATTCTCCAAACAGCTGTTTCTGTTAAGATACTGTGACTGACAAAGGGTAATTTTCAGCTTCCTAGGGTCCTTTTCGTATTCTGATGGATGGTAGAGCTTTCTCTTAGGAACATAAAAAAGTACATTTCACAGGGTTTTTCTACCACCAAGTGCATGGGAAGTCTTGGATCTGACAGACTCACTCTCATAACTCCCAAGACTTAGGTGGAATTTGAATCTCTACAATGCTACTTTTCTCTCTCTGTCAAAGGCTTTGTACTCATTTGTCAAAAGCCTGAAGGTAGGAAAAAGGAAATAGATTGAATTGTGGAGGCTTTACAAATGCTCAGCAACTTTTTCCTTTGTCTGTCATCAACTTTTTGATGCAGATGTATTTCAGAAGTTTCATTGACCATTTTCTCCCCCTGCTGCTTTTTGGGTGCAATTTCAAAGTGGGTAGCGGGGAAGGGGGAACTGGAAGATTCATGGCTGTAGTGGCTCTTATTTCAGCCAAGAACCGCTTTCCTACTGAATCACTTTGCTATTTTCTTAACTCAGGAACATAGTGAAAGGCCAGATGAGAATGATTTGTTTTTAAGGCCAAAGGAAATGGAAAAGAAGTGAAATTCAGGCAAGCATACATGAACTTGCATGCTAATCTCTGCGATGCTTCTTTAATTCTCCATGTATACGTAGGAGGAAGCAGAGAGAGAGTTCTTTGTCTTTTTTTTTAAGATTTATTTATTTATTTTAGAGTGAGAGTGCATGTGTGCGCATGGGGTGGGGGAGGGGCAGAGGGAGAGAGAGAGAGAGAGAGAGAGAGAGAGAGAGAGAATCGAAGCAGACTCCTTGCTGAGCATGGAGCCTGATGTGGGGCTCAACCCCATGAGCCCACGAGCCCGAGACCACGACCAGAGCCCAAACCAAGAGTCAGAAGCCTAACAGGCTGTGCCCCCCTTAGAGAGTTCTTTGTCTTGACTAGCCTTAGCTGCTGTTTTCCGGATAGAGCCAGCTCTGCTGGTGGTTGGCAACTGTCAAAGGTATGAGACTTGTAGGATCCTTTTTGACTTGGTCCACTAAGCTCATGGCAACTCTGAAACTGTGGGTCTACAAGGAGGACTTGAGACACCTTTGACGTGGCTTGGGAAACCTGAGGGGTGATTTTTTTTTTCAGACTAAGATAGTTTCTGGGCTGTTACAGACCCAGTGTGATAGGATATCTCGTGACCCATTCAAAGTGCTTAGCTGGTCTAAGAAAAACACTGGAACTTTTCTAGTCGTTAGTTTTCCAAAGGCCAAGAACAATGGGTAATTACATACTGTGCTGGGCAGTCCCTCCCCTGCCTCCACCCCAACCCATCCCCACCTGTTTACCAAAGCCTTGATCCCCTACAAGGACCAAAAGCAAATGTTAGCAAATGTCAAAAACAAAGTTTATCCCCCTCAACTCCAAACTCCAATTAAAGTATTTTGGCCTATAATTAAGTTCGGGCCTCTTGAAGAATGAGTACTATACAGAAGAACTTTATCACCGAGTGTTGCGCATATAAATGTTATCCTGAGTTCCAAAGTCATTTTGAAAAAACTTAAGAGGCTTGGTTTTCTTTTGAAATATTGTGTTCCACAGATAACATCGATATTGCATTATTTGGTCTCGTCATCTGTTGTTTGGATAGAAAAATGCAGATTTTTTTTTTTTTTTTGTCTTTTATAAGCTTCCTTTAACACAAGCAGCAGTCTCTGGTAAGGTAGTATTGCTATGCATTTGCATTGTTATAGAAGTAAATTATGGATTCTGTCATTCAAAAGAGAATGCTTTATAAATCAAGTAAAATCTCATAACTAAGACGAATAAGTTGTTTTTAAGCCTTATGGGGCCTCATATTCCATACTTTAGTTTTACAGCCCAACCTGATGTAATTATTAAAGTGTAATTCTCTTTTTTTTCTATTTCTGTGTACTGTTTTTGCTTTGTACAAACGTCATTAGTTTTCCAAGACAAAGCTTAAGAAAAGTTACTATATGGAAAGGACAGTAATATAAAAGCACAAAGGCAAGCAGTAATTTTTTATCTGTAGATTGGCAGGAAATGTGCCAAATATACCGTGTTCTCTCCCTCCCCTTCTTCCTCCCCACCCTCACTGATTGCATTCAATGTAAATGATGTTAAAACTCTAAATTGTAACAATGGTAAAAATCCTAATGTATTCCTTTTCTTTCTATTGTTTAAACTGATCTATTGTTTGGAACTCCTGAATATAAGAGACAGCCCTCATTATAAAGCTTTTTTGGAAGGGGTTACAAACTGTGTTCTGTGTAAACGTCTGTGGTTGTGTTTGCCACTCGTCTGGAAAAGCTATCAAGGTGGGTTTGCAATCCTAAGGCAATCCTGCTCAGCAGGTGCCTTATTTCTTTTTTTCACTGCCGCTATGTAACTGTCCCAAAGCATGGGAATCAGAGCAGTGGTCCTAAATGGGGATGGTGCAGGAAGAGGAAAAATCGTCTGCGGAGAAGGAAGGTCAGGAGTAAGTTATTTAGACCTGGTTAGGGGCCAGGATCTACAAATGCAGCTGCAGTTAGTGATGAAAAGCACTGAAATTGCAAAGAGGGAGCAGAGGTAGGGAGCAGAGGTAGAGACCGAGATTTACGATCTGAGCCAGTGCGGTGATAGATGAAACTTTACAAGAACTTCATTTCTCCAGGGAAGAGAGATTAGAGAGGAGAGCAGAGATTTAGGACTGAACCTTGGGGAAATCTTAATGTAAGGGTGTGGGAGGAGGGAGAGAAACCCCCAAGTATAAACTAGCATGCTTGGCCGTGGATGCCACCAAGCATCAGTGCTCCCCGCGGGGCTGTTAATTCTGAGCCAGAAAACCTCCTTTACACTGGGTGGAGGGTGGAGAACCTAGGGACTAAAATCCTTGCGGCTTTGCTTCGGTGCAGGTTGTGGTAGGTGTAAAATGAAGCTTATGTTTTCTCATAGGAGGCACATTAGTGGGGGGGCACCCGTCCATTACCGTGGTTTTGAGCACATAGAATGATTTCCTGACCGTCCTTATATGTGCTGAAATGATGTAGCCATTCCTAAGCTACTTTTATGAAATCAGAACGACTGGGTCAATACCATTCTCAACTCTTCCTACCAATAAATTCTTCCTTTTCCAGGATATGCAGAGGAATGTAAAGGTACGTGGAAAGTAAGATCTGATTTGATTTTCTAAATCATTTAATTTGGTTAAAATTAAATAGATCATCGGGAGAAACGAAGGGACAAAACTGACAGAAAAAATAGCAGCTCCTTTGATTTGTCAAACTGTGCTCTAAGTTATACTCAGCTTCTTGCCGTGCATCTAGGTTTGCGTTAAATGTAGCTCTCTAAAGGTTTGAAAGGACACACCTTGATTCACAGTGAAATTATAGGAATGCTTTAATGACCAGATAACTCAGTGTGGAGGAGTGGTTGTGAACGGTTTAGCCCTCTGAAGTAAGGGCAATTCATAGCATGTGTTAAAAACGCTTGATGAACTAACCCATTTCTCCTGCAGATTCAGGTGGACTAGCAACTTACACTCTTGGGTAACCCCCCCTAAAAAAGCTGCTTTTTTTCTCCACCTCTCTCTCCAATAAGCTCATGCACTGTAAAGAATTCTAGCATCAGTGGGGAAAAAAGAATTGCTTACAGTTGGGCTTGTCTGAAAAGGATTATGGGGGGCCTGGTCATATGAATGAGAGATTCAGTAGCCTCTTTGTATAGTGCTCACGAGTTAAACAAACACAACAACAGGTCACATTTGACATTGTGATAAATCTCTGTCCAGTGACGTCCTTTGGTACCACGTAGTAGACACCATAATTAGCAGCCATGTCAGCATTTAGGCAACACCAAAGGCATATTTGATTGCCCAGGACTGACATATTATCCTGTCTGGAAGTACGTAAACCATCAATAAAACATTGAAAGAGCCGAGACTCCAAAATACACTTTGGTCTCAATTATCCAGGTGATCTAGGGCCATTGCCTCCAGAACCTAAAGAACGTGACTGCCAGGTATAAAGATTTACTCTCTGATGGAACGGAACCTCAGGGGATTTCAGGATGTTTCTCACGTTGTATGGACTCGGGAAAAAGAACTTTAAAATTGTCCAGAAAAATGGATCTAAAATTTATCAGGTATATTTACGTGTATCTAACATTTTCCCTCAATTTTCTTGATAGTTTCTATATGCAGATCCAAATCCTGAATTGTATTTAACATGCATGATTTTACATCTCATGTCAGGAAATTTTTATTTGAATCTGTAACGTTATGAGGGTATCATAGTATTCCTAATATTTTATGGGTGTTTTTTTTTTTTTAAAGATTTGTTTATTTATTGAGAGAGAGAAGGGGAAAAAGAGCGGCGGTGGGGCGGGGGCAAAGAGAGAGGGGAGAAAAAAAATCTCAAGCAGACTCCCTGCTGAGCACGGAGCCCACCCCGGGGCTCGATCCCACAACCCCGAGATCACAACCTGAGGAGAAACCAAGAGTTGGGCACTTAACCGACTGCGCCGCCCAGGCGCCCCTTAATATTTTATGTTTTAAACATAATTTGATGCATATCAAAGTAGGGCAGAGCCGAGGGGCTAAGAGAATGAGTTCTGGAATCAGACCAACTGGGTTTTAGTTCGGGTTTTGTCACTTTATAGCTGCGCAAATTTCTCTTAGTCTCAGTTTCTTCATCTGGAAGGTGAAGGTTTCCAGGGTCTCGATCTTAGAGGGTTGGTACGAAGACGAAGTAAGTTAATTGGTGCAAAGTGCTTATTACAGTACAGCACACATGCTTGGAACTGCATAAACTTTTGTTATTTTGTTGCCAGATTTTTAGAAATACCAAAGTGCATTCATCTAATTTTTTATTTTCAGGGTCGGTGCGCTAGAGAGAACTGCAAGTACCTTCACCCTCCTCCACACTTAAAAACTCAGCTGGAAATTAATGGACGCAACAATTTGATCCAACAAAAGACTGCCGCAGCCATGTTTGCCCAGCAAATGCAGTTTATGCTCCAGAATGCTCACATGTCATCGCTTGTAAGTCACAGCTATGTCTTTGAAAAACTGCATTATGTGTCTTTTTTTTTTTTTTTTTTTTTTAAGAATAAGCCCTTGCCTGGCTTTCGGGAACTTAGTTACAGAAGGATGTAGGATGCCTGCTAATGTGTTAATTAACACCACGAAGCTGTTGTGCGTGTTGGGGGAGCATTTGGGTGTGTTGGGTTTAACACCTGGGTTGCATTTACCATGAATTCAGTTTAGAAGAATATTAATAAAGGAGCAGGGGCATTTTAAGATAAGGCGGAGGTCTGATTGTTATTACAGGTAAACCGTTGAATGCTAGGATATTAATCCAAACAAATTTCCTGGCTCTTTTATGGCAGTTTTGTTACTTTTTAATGGGCTTTTTATTTTGAAATAATTACAGGTTGAAGGAAAAGTTGGCAAAGACAGTACAGAGAGTTCCCATATTACCCCTCACCCAGTTCCCCCCCCCGTTAATTTCTTATGGCATATTTGTCAAAATGAAGAAACTGACATTTTACACATTGCTATTAATTAAACTCCAAATTTTATTCAGACTTTATTAGCTGTTCCGTTAGGGTCGTCTTGCTGTTCCAGTGTCGAATCCAGGGTGGGACGGTGCATTTATTTGACTCCTGTCTCCCCTTCTCTCATCTGGTCTGCGACCGATTCTCAGTCTTTCCCTGCTTCCCATGACCTTGACATTCTTGAGGAATCCTGGCCAGATATTTGGTGGTGGTTTAACTTAACCCAGCCACAGAGTTTGCCTTTGCAGGAATTAAAAAGATTATGTTGCCATTCTAGACCAGCGTCTGGTATTTTTATGGATCCTTTAAAAAGCAATTTTGTCTTATTGAGAATTCATCTTGCCCTGATACCTTATATTATAAAGTTGCAATTTAGTCTTAGACCTTTCATTATCTAGATACTAATTGGAAAGAGGTATGTTGTCTTCATCTGTTACCCATTTGGTCGGTGACTGTGTAATAAACTCACTGAAAGCTAAAGACCATCTAGCTTTTCAGCTATGTAGTATTTAGATGGATACAATGAAAATGTGCTCTCAGCAAAGCCTATTTCATTATAAAATCGATTCTCAGAATTCAAGGAAATCCGTGTGGACAGGGCAACCCCTTCACTGGTACATCTTTATAGTTAGTGCATAAAACAGGTGGTAGGGGCCTTGATGAGTCACTGGAATTTTGCACCATGATCCTCTTTTTCCAGAAGGTCCAGACAGCTTTAAGTAAAGTTATTTGTTTATTTAGCATCACCCGTACTAGTAGTTTGCCAAAAACATTTGCCTTGGAACTCAGCTGATAATTACATTGATAAATTAGCTCCCAGAAGGTCATATGGTTGAACTCCTTCTTCAAACTCTTTCGTTAGCTCTCACACACTGAAGTATTTTAGTTCCTCCCTATTTCTAAATGGGTAGGGAAGAGAAGGTGTTCTAGATTCTGGGAATAGTATGAACAAAACCACAGAGAAGTGAATGTGTGTGGTGAGTCCAGAAAATGTGAGTAGTAGGGGAATAAAGCAAGGGAGCTTTTCACCCACCTTTATTACTGCTCTTGGCCTCTCGTGGATCTCCCAATTTCAGACTGAGCAAAGAATAGGGGCCAGATTGTATTACACACCTGAGCCCAGCATGTGTTTTTTTTTTTTCCTTAGGTCAAGAGACAGCACTGGGGCATCAATCAAATGCCCGGTTTCAGGGAATCAGAGAGCAAGGCCTGGGATAAAGTAGGGGTAAAGGCAGAAGGCAGACTATTCATCTTCTATTCAGCCTCCAGGAGAGTCTTTCCGTTCCCCGTCTCCACCATTCATGCATTATTGATCATGCTGGCTCACCCTGGAGACAAGGGAGTGGCTTTTTTTAGAGTCCAATAAGAGATCCATTGAGTTCTCCAGCCTCTTGTGCTTTCTAATTGAATTCTCCATGCTTTCTATAAAAGAATACATTTCCCTTTTTTTTCTTCCATGAGGGTAATTTCAGATTTCAGGCTGCAGAATATGACTGATGTGACTCACAGGAGTACAATTTATTTTATTGCGTATCGTAAGATACAAGACATTACTTAGAAGACCCCAGGGAGCAATTGGAAATTGCTTTTCTACCTTGTAGATTATTTAACAATAGCTGTTGTGATGTGGTAAACTGATAAAAGATTAATTCCTGCAGTTAATATGTATACAAAAAACTAACCCCAAGATGATTGATATGATCCTATTTTGTGGTCTAGAAAGGTTTGTAGGCGTGTTGTAATTGCACTAGTGTGAGCAATTTTAAGTGACATTTACCAGTCTGGTTTGAAAGAAATGTTCCTTATTATGGATCTTGATATTACCATAGAAGTAACATATGATTTTACTTGATTTTTCTGGTACCTACGCTCCCCAAACAACTCTCTATCCCTTTTAACCCCCCACCACCCTGATAATCTGATTCTTCTCCCTAGACTCGTCAAGCTTTTATTTAAACTTCCAATCCTGATATTTGTATGGTTGCATATTAAGCCCCATTTGGTATCACTGGCTTGAACTTCAGGTCTTCCCACAAAGCGTACTTTGATCCGTTTCTAGGATACCAAGAGAGCACATCTGCTTTTGGAAAATTGAGTATGGTTTGCTTATTATAAGCCCCAGATAAAGGGAATGTCAACCTAAATGGGATGGTAGCTAGAGAACAGATTCTGTTTAGTGTGACTGAACAATGAATAAAAGCCACACCTAGTCAATTTGGGTGGAATGCTTGCCATAGCAGGCAAGTTTGTTCACTGTATTTAACAGGTCTGAATTGACATTGCTAGTATAAAATTCCACCCCTGAAAGCTTTTGTTAGCTTTATTAAGGAAGTTTAGCAAGTGAGACAAGGAGCGTGACTCCCCAGTGTTTTTTGATGCAGTTAAGAGATAGTCTCTGATGTTCACAGCAAAGGAAAAAAAAATCATGTTTAAGAACTCCCCCTGGCATAATTGGGAGGCAAACAGGAACCCTGTAGAAGAATTTCAGGGAAATCAGACACACTGCATCACTCTCAGGCAAACTAATGTTTTTAAATTCGGGTTTCACAACCGGGAATTTTCATTACAGGAGGAAGGATTCTCACTGGTGGATGTAATGTATGCGTATATAAAGGTGATATGGTGTCATAAATCTATTAAAAACATTTCTGATTTAGACATTTTGCATAATCTAGACCTATCCATGTCTAGTAAACCCCTTTAGTTTCTCTCTTTGAATGTGGTGATGCACATGGAAACAGTTCTTTACACGCAGGTGAATTTGACTGACCCAGTCAAGTGTATTCACCTGATGATTTATTATAGAGGTTATTGGTTCAGCCATTGGGGTGTGCCAAGTCCCTTGGTCTGCTATATGTTTTTTGTGGCCTTCATTCCTGTAGCCAAGTTAGGGTGTTTCAAATGACAGAGGCTATCAAAATGGGTTCCACTCCAGACTTGTCCTTTATTGCAAATAGTAACATCTGATATCTGTCTGAACCCTCCCCACCTTTTTACATCATTTCTGTAATTCTGTGTACCAAATACATTTCCCATAAACAAGCTCATATGTTTATCTGACATTAATATAGCAAGGAATGAAGGTGAGGTAGCACCTCCGAACCAAAAGGGGAAAAAACAGGAATTTCCAGTAGCCAAGGGGAAGGGAGATACACTGACAAGGAACAATATCTGGAGACCAGCGTTTTGAATGCTTTTCTCCTTTAATTAAATAGGAGCTATAAGGTGTATTATTCTACAAAACTTTGGACTGCAACGGTTTTAAGCGAAAAGAAGCAGAGTTGCAAAATAATTTATTTCCTTTTTCATTTTTGAAAATGTTAAGTACTTAAATGATTTAGTAAAGACAAAGGATAGCATCCTTCCCTAACCATGATACATTCTACATTTTGCCGATTCACATCAGAGTTACAGGTTTTCTAGTTCACACAGTTCACCTATAGTTCATATGGTTCACACACAAAGCTAACTTCGTTGGCTGAAGTATCTGCTATCTCCCTATTGTCATGGCTCTTTTATTAAAAGTTATCATGAGGGGCGCCTGGGTGGCTGAATCAGTGAAGGGTCTGCCTTTGGCTCAGGTCATGATCCTGGGATCCTGGGATCCAGCCCCATGTTGGGGTGGGGGGAGGTCCCTGCTCAGCGGGGAGTCTGCTCCCTCTGCCCTTTCCCCTCACTCGTGCACTCTCTCTCTCTCAAAATAAATAAAATCTTTTAAAAAATAAATAAAACTTATCATGATAAAAGGTGGGCAAGCCATTTTGTAGATTTAATGGAAAAGGAAACCATGTCTGTATTCCAGATGACCAGTCTCACGATCAGTACAGAAATTACAATGTATTTTAACGAAGGTTCTTCAGAGGATTTTGCAGTTTATCTACTCTTGAAATGATAAATGATGACATTTTGTTCTTTCATCTCAACGTGCTTACATCTACATGTTTTGTAAAGTGATTTTTGCAAAATATTTAGGTTGGTGATGACGGGAATTATGTACTTATCAGGTTAATATGCTCTTAATATAATTATGACTGCCATTATCATGTCATTATCATTGACTGAGGTTGACCAAATCACACCATAGGAGTGTGTAGAGTGCAACTAGCCCCAAATTCCTCTGGATTTTACCATGTTTGCTGAAAGGCTAGACAAGATTTCACTTTTAGATAAGGCAACTGAAGCCTAACATTATTTATTTGTTCAACAAATTGTTCCCACAGGTAGGCTTACCTTGAGGTTAGTGAAAGCTCAGGGCCCCTCATTTGCATGGTCTCCATCCAAGGCCCTGAGAGGAGCCCTAGCAATGTGTTTACATGTGTTTGTAAAGTTTGCAAAATATATTTGTGTATTCTTTGTTCTTAAGACTCCCCTCCTCTACCCAACTGCCTAAACTTCAGGCCCCACAGATCCTAGATTCACTCCTGATGGCAATTACTGGTCCAAAGTGGAGTCATTATCCGGATTCTTTCCCTAGGCTGTGTATGT